TAGTTCACAAATTTATATATATATATATATATATATATATATATATAAATTATAAAAAGTACTATCAACCAGTTTTTTGAAGTGGTTATATCAATTTGCCCTTCCCCAGCAGCAAAAGTTCTGCTTACCCCAGATCCTTATGGATATTTGGTATTTTCTGTCTTTTCATTTTAGCCAAATTTATGAGGTGGGCTCTGCATATTCATGAAGTGAGGGTTGGGTTCTCCATATTTCTCCTATCTTTCCCAATAAAGCAAATGCCAGCTAGCTATAGCATTTGAAGCTAGTTATTATGACCAGGGATATTCAGTAAAGGGTGGAGAGGAGAAAGCTCACCACAAAGATGAGCCCTCTGGTATCTGGGGGTGGGCACTGTGGTAGGCTGTAAGCCACTGCTTGGGACGCCTGCACCCCATGTCACGGTGCCCGGGTGAGTGTCAGCTACCATGCACTTTTAAAATTTTTTAAATTAACTTATTTCTTTGAAATGCAGGGTTACAGAGAGATAAGAGACCTTCATCCGCGGATTCATTCCCCAAATGGCCATGAATGGCTGGGGCAGGGCCAGGCTGAAGCCAGGAGCCAGCAAGTCCATCTGGGTCTCCCATGTGCTGGCAGGCGTCTAAGCACTTGGGCCATCTTTTGCTGCCTTTCCAGGTGTGTTAGTAGGGAGCTGGATCAGACGTGGAACAGCTGGGACTCAAACTGGTGCCCACATGGGATTCTGGCCTTACAGGCAGCAGGTTAACCCGCTGCACCTCAATGCCAGTCCCTACTCTGCACTTCTGACCCATCCTCCTGCTAATGCCTGGGAAGCTGTAGGAGATGGCCCAAGTACCTGGATTACTGGCATCCACGTGAGAGATCTGATTGGAGTTCCTGGCTCTGACTTGGCCTAGCCCACCCCCGCCTATCATAGCCATTTGGGGAGCGAACCAGTGCATGGAAGACTTTTCTCTCTCTTCCCTTCCATCTCAGTCACGCAGCCTTTCACATAAATGCTAACTAAAAGTCCTACCTGGTTATAAGTAAAGGCCAGGAGGGGAACAAAAGTATCATTCAGGTCCTCCAAAAACACAAGCATAAACTGAAGGTCAGTGCATTGGAGTTGTGTTCCAAGGAGTCCTTTACCCAGACAACAAGGGAACGGCACAGGTGTGCTTCAAGACCTCAGAGAGGAGGCTGGGAGGAACCCTAGCGTGCTCATGTTCAGAGAGATCTGTGGGTCGAGGGAACGGCACAGGTGTGCTTCAAGACCTCAGAGAGGAGGCTGGGAGGAACCCTAGCGTGCTCACGTTCAGAGAGATCTGTGGGTCGTAGGTCCGTGCAGCATTCTCTTAGCTACCGATGTCTACGCTACATAGACATCGTGAGGGATGGAGGTCAAGCAGAAGTTCTTAGACAACAGGTTTGGGTTTACACAGGCACAGGCATCGTTTGTTTGATACAAGCACAGTTTGGTATAGAGTTTCCCCTGTTGAGATGATGATACAGCTGGCCAGTCTCACTGAGCGGCCCCTCAAGGCTCTAGATCTTTTGGGCACCATTGTGCAAAAAGGTTGCCTGCTGCCTAAGGTGCCTATAACAGGGTTTGGATGACCGTGAAGCTTCTGACTTGGAATCTCACAGCTGGAATCAACCCTGCCTTCCTCTGTGCGCAGTAGTCTCATTGCTGGGATGGCAGAAAACACGTACATGGTGGGGCTGACCACCTGGCCTGAGCTCCATACAAAGTGGAACCCCTGAAGAAAGCATCTGTCCAGCCCTCCTGGAGCAATCGCAGCCAGGGTTTTGCTCAAATATTCTGGGTTGTAGTGGTCCACATGGCACTGTCATGGGCCAGGGAGAGAAGGTGCTGCGCCTCCCACAGGGCCTCGACGCACAGAAGGCGGCTGCAGGGATGACAGCGCTGGCTCTCATTCGGTACAAGACAGCCAATCTGCACCAGGATGCTGGGTGTGGTGACCTCCACCACGGGGCTGAAGACATCGCTGCCGCTTCTTGAGCTGAGCCAGATGGCGGAAGCCAAACTCGGGCCGTGGGCAATGGCGTCTTCAGTTCCTAAAGCACGCAGCCACAGCGAGAGCCTAGAAGACTTCCTTCCCTTTCAAGAGGACGACTGCTGGGGTAGACAGATTGCAAAATGAGAGGAACTCTCAAGAACACTTGCCAAGTACCAGAAATCCTAGGAACTTTCAGATTTTCCTGGAGGACTTTTGTCCCGGAATCGCCAATGCTTTTGCGGGCGACACGTAGTAGGCACTTTGCTGGAGCCGGAATCTCGGGATTCTACAACCTGGACCCTCTGGAGGTTGGCGTGAAGACCATGCTGGCATGAGCGGTCCAGGACTATGTGTGCCAGGAGGGGAGAGTTACAGGATCTGAACAAGTTTGGCCTGGGCAAACAACCGATGAGTCACTTGTGTGAGAACCTTTCTGTCCAGTCAAGACTCTGTGCTCTGACTAAGGGCAGATGGCTGGGGCACTCAAAGGTCAAAGGACTTCATGGTTTATTGGAAGTCCATCTCCTACATGTTGCCGGGCTGCCAGCGATGACTGGGGAAGGAGGTGTCCTAACTGTGTATCAGAGCACAGATACAGAAGGTCCTGGGTCTGCGAGAACCAGGAGCACCTTGGGTGCTGGTCATGCTAAGCCATGGCAATCCTGGCACAAGTGGCCCCCCCAGGAATGATGGAGAGGCTCTGACACGAGCTAAGGTCTCCATCTGTAGAGCCTTGGCATCAGGCTGCAAAAGAAGGTGAAGCTGAGCATCCCCAAACCTGAAATCCAAAACGTTCCACAGCCCGAAACCTTTTGAACACTGGTAAAACACCACACGTGGAAAATCCCACAGCTGACCTCCTGTGGTAAGTCTCAACCAAAATACAGGTACCCTAAAAGCATGGTATAAATTACCTGCAGACAATGTAAAATAACACTCACATGAAACGTGAAGGAATTGTTCTATCCCCAAGATAGCTATGAATCTGTGAATATTCCAAAGTTTGAATCCCGAAAGCACTTCTGGTGCCAAGCACTGCAGATGAGAGACACTCAACTGTGCTAACACAGGCCCCAGGATGGCTATGCATTTGGAATGTGAGCAGATCCCCCTGTGGTGAACACAATCCTGCTAGTGCCATCTTCACTGGGTTTCCGGGGCTGGGTGGGGGGGAGGTGGTGGGGATAATAAAGGTGGCATGAGAGGGCCACCCAGGAGGCAGAACTGTCGCGCAGTATCAGCCACAGGTTTCGGATCTCCAGCTGAGAAAAACAAAGCCAAACCACTCCTCTTCCGAAGATTCCCCACTCCTGTTCTGCTGCCTGGATGACACTCACCCTTTGCCAGGGCTGGGGCCAAGCGCTGGCTTTACTGGGACCCTGGGGTGGGGACACACCCAGGGGGAGCAGTGCACACACCCGCAGAGGCCTGCCCTGACAGTGTCTAGACCAGAAACCTACAAAAGGGCCAGCTGGTTCTGGGGAACACCAGGCACGGAGGGTCCAGGTGGCCAGAAGCTCCCGTTTCTCAAGCCCTTGTTTGGAAATGGGTGGGAGAAGGCAGAGGGGTCAGCGAGAGCTAAGCGGAGAGGAACGCTGTCTCACAGACACATCTCAGTGCCTGGGCCAGGATCTATAGCGTCCTAAAACTCAGGTGCTTGGAGAGCTGCCCAAGTTCCTATGTTGGTGGTTTCCTTAGGTCTACAGCTTAGCACCCCACTAAATACCTCTGTCTAGGGCAGGCACCAGGGTCACTTCCTCCGGAGTTTGCAGAGGCAGCAGCCAGAGAGCCAGTCCACCAGGACACGCTGCCTGCGAGGGCAGAGCCCACCGCCTGCTTTTTCCTTCTCTTAGCTGTGCAGGCTCACAGGTGGGCTGGCAGTGGGAGCTGCCAACTTACTCTTTCCCTGCATGATGCCATCTGGAAGTCCCCAGAACAGAGGAGGTTTGGCACTTGGGCTCATCTTGCATCCTTGAAAAGATGGGACCAGGCAAAGGGTATGCAGCTCCCGGAGTGCCCAGGTGTGTGTGTGGGCACGGTGGGGATATACCTCTCACCTCAGCACAGTCAATGAGCAAATACCAGAAGTCAATTCTAGCACGCAGGGTTTGGGAGGAGGGAAGGCTCAAGTTAGCATAGGCAGAATCCAAAACTGGACCACTGGATTCAAGGAAGCTAGACAGGAAGTGATAGTCAAGATACAGCCAAACCAGATGAGCCCAATCTGCAGTGACAGGCGGAGAGAACTCGGCAGCACTCATGAACTACAGGGAAGGGGAGCAATCACTCGCGCGTGGCCATCTCTTCACCACTGTCCCCAGGGCCTCCTGCAGTGCCCACCAGGCACTCGGTACTCAGGAAGCGCTTGTCAGAGGAACAGACTCTCATGGTCAGCTGTGGGGACCAGAACAGAAGGGACACTTGGAGATGACTCCATCCCATTCCTGTATTTCATAGGGAAGTCTCTAGACACCTGATGGCTTTCCATGTGTGCTGGGGTCAGGATTAGAGGAAAAGTCTAGACTCCCCCTGGGCTCCTTTGTTTCCCCATATCGAGGACTCCAGTGGCCGTCTTGTGAAGGGTGGGTCAGGTCCAGGTCAGGGGTCAGGGGTCAAACTTGTTTTCTTAAAGGGCTAAAGTAAGTGGTACATTGTCATTCCACCTGCTGTCAGCCTGAGAAAGCAGCCACAGATAAGAGTGGTTGTGGCCAGTTCCCATTTAACTGTGCAAAACATGTGGCTAGGGTGTGAGGGAGGGCTCTCTTCAAGAGAACACACAGTCTCGGGGCAAGTGCTTCTCCAAGGGGCAATGTCTTTAAGACCTTACTAGAGAAAAGATACGCAGTCAGGACTACTGGGCCTCGTGGTTTTTGTTTTTGTTTTTGTTTTTGTCTTTTTTTTTTTTTTTGAGAAAAGGGCAACAAACACATAAAAAAGGAAGAAAACTAAATAGAAGCATTTTTTTTAACCCTAAGAAACTAGAGACTGATTTTTTACCTTTTGAACCAAGTAGACACTTGTAGCTCTCTCGGCGGCGACTTTATCGAGTTCGGATCCCTCAGGAACGAAGTAGCTCACATCGGCGATGTGCACTCCCACTTGGAAGTTACCTGTAGAAGCACAAGAAGGCCTGTCGGTCTGGCTGCGAAGGCCCACGCAGTCCCCAGGGAGTCCCCTCCAAGCATGCGCAGCAGTGCCAGTGCCAGTGGCCCGCAGGCCGCATCCCCTTCCTCAACACACACCAAACACGATGGCGCTTTGATCATGGATAAACAGGATTAACCATTCCTGAGACCTCTCATCCTTGAGTGGACATCAGCGGACTTGTACAAGGAAGCAGGGCTCACCCGGGATGATGAACAAACCCACCAGGCCACCGGCAGCAAGTGAATGCCCAGATCCTGCAGGCACTGCCTCGGGAAGCTGGGCCCTGTCCCCGTCCCCACTGGCCACTGCCTCACTCAGCCCCACGCCCGCTGCTGTAGCGGCTCCACACGTGGATCGGCTGACGTCACTCTGCGACCTGTCACTCACGTCCCTGCGTGGTCTCACCCCAATCCACTCAGCCTCACGGCCCCGGCCCTCGTGGACTGTGTATGCAGCTGTCCTGGGAAACCTCTTTCCTGCCCTGCACCTGTCTGACCTTACCACACTCAGACTCCTGCTTAGCTCAAGCCTTCTCCAGCTCTTGGGATAACCTCCATGGGATCTGCCTCAATGGGATCAAGCCTCCTTTCCTTCCGGGTCCACTGAAAGGGAATGCCCAGACGAGTGGACTCTCATGCCCTCCGTCTCCTCCGCCCATGCTGTTCCGTCAGCTCCTGTGCCCGAGGGTGCTCCCCTGGTCTGCCCCCAGAGCTCCGGTCCCCACAGGTACCACCATGCGCTGCCCTTGGCTCACGGGCTCGGCGGCGCCTCTCGACAGTGTAAGCTCTAGCAGGTCACTGCTGCGCTCGCAGGGCCTGGGAGAGTGCCTAGCACAGAGCGGGCGCTCAATACATCCTTCCTGAGCAAACGAACCAGTGACTGGTTTGTCGGCCTGTTGCTTTTTCCCTGACAAAAGACTGACTCCCCCGCCCTCTGCCCTGCCTTGGGACTGCCCTTCCCTTCCCAGTGGAGCTGGCTTTCAGCTGGCGCTGCCCCCCTACCAGGTTGATTGGGGGTGGCCAGTGAGCCAGCAGGTGGGGAGGCAGTTGGGTTATAAACTGACGATTTGCTCTTTATCAGCATAGAAATCACCTATCAAATATAGTATAAGCGAATACATACATGTACACATGCACACACACGCCTACACAAAACTTACATAAATGGGTGTGTGAAAAGCACGAAGTGGGTAGATACAGAACAGGAGAACCCAGGAAAGTAAGTGTGTGATTGGAGGGAGTGTCAAGCGCAGACAGAAGCACCATGTGGACACAAGCAGAGCTGCATTCGCTTGAACTGAAGTCTACACTCGTGCAGCTGCACAATACCCGGTCCCCACTGGCACTGTTTGCTCTAGGGATACATGCGACCCAAGACTTACTCTGAGTCTGTTTGGAGGGACTGACAGGGACTTCAAGAAACACAGTCTCTCTGCTGGGGTCTCAGACACCAAGGACCACTTGAACCTGGGGCTGCCAGGAAACATCTTTGTCCCACAGACATGCCAGTACAGAAAATAAAAGGCTAAGCCATATCAGGGGGGCCAGCATTATGGCGTGTGTAAAGCCATCGCCTGCAGTGTTGGCATCCCATGTGGGCACTGGTTCAAGTCCCAGCTGCTCCACCTCGGATGCAGCTCCCTGCTAATGCCCTGGGAAAGCGGTAGAAGATGGCCTAAGTGCTTGGGGCCCTGCACCCACGTGGGAGACCCGGAAGAAGCTCTTGGCTCCTGGCTTCGGACTGGCACAACTCCGGCTGTTGTGGCCATCTGGGGAGTGAACCACTGGATGGAAGACTTTCTCTCTCTCTCTACCTCTCTCTAACTCTTTCAAATAAATAAATAAATCTTAAAAAAAAAAAAAATAGGAAGGAAGGAAGGAAGCATCCTGATGGCCTCGCTGCACACTGGGCTGCAGGCGTACGGGAACCCTGTCTGCCTGTGGACTTGGCAGCTCACGAGCCAATCAACAACCTGCAGGCTGTGACTCACTGAGACCCGCTGACATGGAGGAGCTTCTTAACACATGACCACTTGCTCTCTTGGTTGCCTGGGCGACGAATGCTAAGGTAGCACACATTTTACCGGTGCATTCTGTAGCTCTCTGTTACCCTCCGACTTCTTCTTCACTGCAGGGTAACTCTCCCCTCAGCTTTCCGAGTGGAGGGATGTTTAGCCGAGGTGCTCAGTAAAGGGGTCAGGCAAGGACACGAAGGGAAGACTCCTCACTCTTCACCTGTGCTGGCGTTCAGAGCCCTCTTCCAGGACCCCCTTCATGTCCTTCTGCACAATCCCGCGACGCTAAAGCGTTAGGGAGAGCCGAAGGCCACCCAGGAGACCCCGGCTGCTCTGCGGTAGGACCAGAGACCTGCTCCCCGCAGAGAAAGGGCTGCCAGCAGGGCTGAGAGAGACCAACGGCTCCAGGCTCGCCCCTCACTCCGACGGGCGCGCGGCTGTGTCGCCGGGTCACCGGGAACACACAGACCTGCACTCGAGGACGCGCTGGGGCCAGGAGGCTCCGAGCTCTCAGCTTCCAGGTTTGGTATTTCAAGTATCTAAAACCAGCACTTGGAGACGGTGAAACAAAGGGTCTGCCTTTGAAATCTGAATTATAATATATTGGCTTCACAGGCAAATATTGTTGGAAGGAAAAGAGGATTATTACATCATGATATAAACCATCACTTCAAATTCAGTCTCTGTGTTGTTACTATACGTGAACTCTCTGTCCTCAGTCAAAATTGACAAACTGACCAAGGGTTCATTACAGGAGCTAAAACATGAAGGCAGCCAATCAAAACACATCCGAGAGACTGAGATTTCCCTTGGGACTCCCAGCACAGCCTCTGAACCCAGCAAGGAGAGCGCTCGTACGCCCTGCCCTGGGCCTTGTTTATGGAAACCCTAAGTAAATATTTTATTCCATATATTTACACAACGTGAACTTGCAGAACTCTCGGAGCAGTGGCACTGAAGTTTTTATTTTATGAAAAGAAGAAGCATAAATCTAAAAGCTTATATAGGACACGCTGCCAAAATGTTTAGGAACAATTTGATGTTTTAAGAAAATACTGTCTGAGGCCCGCACTGTGAAGTAGAAGGTTAAGCCTCTGCCTGTAGCGGCCAGCATCCCATATGGGTGCCAGTTCGAGTCCCGGTTGCTCCACTTCCAATGCAGCTCCTTGCTAATGTGCCTGGGAAAGCAGTAGAAGATGGCCCGAGTGCCTGGGCCCTTGCACCTGTGTGGGAGACCTGGAAGAAGCTCCTGGCTCCTGGCTTCAGCTCAGCCCAGCTCTGGCCATTGTGTCCATTTGGGGAGTGAACCGCAGATGGAAGACCTCTCTCTCTTGCTCTCACTCTCAATCTCTCTCCTTCTCTCTATGTATCTCTCTGCCTTTCAAATAAATAAATAAATCTTTAAAAAAAGGAAAATACTTTCTTTCATATAAAAAGGTTCTTGTAATTAAAAAGAAATGAACTTTTCATCTGCTGGGGCCGAGAGCTATGACTTGGAGCAGCAGAGGCAGGCAGAGGAGTCGTCCCAGGGCTGCGTGCTGGTCCCAGGACCCCCAGCGCCGATAAACACAGGAATCTCTCGGAGTCACACGGCTTCCTTCACTTCAGACACGAATGGAATCGAAAGCAGCAGCTCAGCTCAGGGACCATCCCTGGACGCCAGCCTCAATGAGCACAGCCGCTTCCCGCTGGGGTCTCTGCCAGCGGCCCCGACATCTCCTCAAAGCCACCTGTCTGAAGAAGCTTTCTGTGGGGGCTTTCCCCCACAGATCCAAGCTACATGGAAAGGGGCCTCTGGCTGACGACAGCCCTGGGCACCGTCAGTGGCCCCCACTCCCTTCAGGGAGCCCCTGCTCTGCCCTGTGGTGACAATCAGAGGAAGGTTACCGAAGTGTTTGGGAGTGAGCTGAACCGCCATCGGTGAGCACACGTCAAAGTGTCTGTGCTCTATGACAACTATATGAATGTAACATTAATAACTATGATCTTAACAATTATAATCAAGTTTCTAAATGCCCCCTCTGGGCCAAGGTTCCACGCACGACCCAACTTTGACAACAGCCATGCAAACCACGTTGCACGGGTGAGTTTGGAAACTCGGAACACTTCGAAGCCGCTTGTCCAGTTACCTGGCTAGTACGTGCTGGACGCCAGGTTCAACAGCAGGCTGCATTCAGAGCCTTTGCTGCGTTTGCGACCCCTCCCTTACACTGTCACTGTGGGCCACAGCTTAAAATTCCTCCCTGTCTCCTAGGACTCAGTGAAAGCCACAGTCTTGGCTTTGGATCCAGAAGTGCTGTCAGGGACTTTTCCCAGCCTTGTTCGTAGCCACACCCCTGTCCCTGCAGGCTCTTTTGCTTCCCACTGCCAACCTCCTTAACCACTTGTATTAGGGACTGATTACAGAACAACCACTAAGCCATTAACTCAAGTTCTATTTGGTTAGGGAGTAAGTCCTTAAAGGCCCACAACTCCTTTATACATTTCTAGCTTACAGCCATGTGGCTGGTGACAGAGCTACTGTCTGACAATCACTAGCAAAGGCTTGTGCCAGGAGTGAACACTGCAAAGCTGTCACCTATTACAGCTGGGGACATATCAGGCCTCTCTTACTGCAGTGAGCCCAGAGCCTTCCAGGCATGGGTCACTTAAGCTCACCTTTCCCCACTGCTGAGAAGGGACAGTGGTGACAGAGGCTTTTCTTGCCCCCACCGGGACACTCCTCCCAGAACACACTCCTACTCGTTGCAACAGACGAGGTGTTTGCGTCTCTGACCAGCCACGCAACTCCATTCACGCGCTGGGACCTAATGCCCAGCGCGATGCCATTCAGAGGCAGGGCCTTCAGGCAGTCATTAGGCCATGAGGGCAGAGTGCTCACAAGTGGGATGCAGACCCCAGAGCTCCCTCACCCCTACATTACGTAAGGACACAGCATGAGGTGTCATCTCTGAACCAGAGAGTGGCCCTCCCAGGACACTCTGTCAGTGCCTGGACCTTGAACTTCCCCGCCTCCAGAGCTGTGAGAATTAACACTGCTGTTTCTAAGCCACCAGCCTGTGGCATTCTATTGCAGCACTAAGACACATGTGATGCCTGAAAATCTTTCCGTCTAGGAAGTAGGAGAACGATGCTGCTAGATGCACTTAGTTAGCAAAAAGTTAACTTTGTCCGGGTCGCGGACAACCTTGTAAGCTGCTGACTAGCAGCACCTGCAGCCTGAGGGCTTCTTCTTCCTTTGGCTCAGGGCCCCTCCGCGTGTCTGACCTCTGGGACTGCTTCTTCCAGCCCTGTCCCTTACCTGTTGGTGTGCCAGCCTCCAAGCTCTCCCCCTGGACTCTTACTTGCTTCCAAGGGCCTACACAGCATTTCTGGGCTTTGGCCTTCTCACTCTATACCAACTAGCAAAGAATCTCTGAGTTCCGGGTTGACACACACCAAGAGTCTACCGGGAACTGCCACTTAGCTGTCCCACAGACACACACACACACATCCCTAAGTCCTCGCTCTTAGCAAAACCATTTCTCTCCCTGGTCAGGAAGTGGGATTACTACTAAATCAGAAGTGGCATCACTGTTGCCCAAATCCAGAGGAAACCTATGATGGATGGGTAGGCCTGTGTCAATCAATCATGCTGAACCCTACTGTTGTGGTCTGAATTCATCCCCCAAAATTCATGTGTTAGAAACTTAATCCCCAAATTCCTATCTCAAGGGTATGTAGAGGAGGAGCCTGAGGGGGTCCCGAGGGTGGTGGCCCTAGTGGCTTTGTAGGAAGACGGAGGGACACCTGAGCCAGCACACGTGCCCTGTGATGTCCCCCACCGTGATGCAGCAAGAGGGCCTCCCCCAGATGCCAGTCCTTGCTCTTGGACTGCCAAGCCTCCAGAACCATGAGCTAAACAAATCTCTATTAAATTACCCAATCTCTAGGATTCTGTCACAACAACAGAAAAAGGACTAGAAAATGGACCTTCCAAACATCTCTCAAATCTGCCCACATCTCTTCCTCCCACCTTGGCTAGGATGACCATTATTTCTTCTCTTCTTTTAAAAAAAATATTTATTTGAGAGACAGGGAGACAACAATGAGAGAGACAGTGAGCTTGTGAGGCTGGGTCAGGTGGAAGCTGGGAGCCAGAAACTCAACCCAGGTCTCACACAGGGGCAGCAGGAACCCTCCTAGGGTCTGCATTAACAGGAAACCGGGGTCAGGAGCCACAGCCAGGCACTCCGCAGTGGGATGTGGTGGCTGCACTGCCGGGGTGGACACTGCGCCTCACTGTGTCTTCTGCAGAGGTGGAGCTCCCTCCCCGTGACCCCCCCCCCCCCCCCCCCCCGCCCCGCTCTCAATCTCAGCTTCCGCACTGCAGGTGGTGCTCCTTGCAAAACACAAATCTGGCTGTCAGCCCGCCCCCTGCTGAGGCTCACTGCCCACCTCTGGTCCCCTCATCTCCTCTCTTCTACTCTTCCCCCTGCACACTGCAAGTCTCCATTGCTACTCTGCAACCAGGTGACACCCACAAAGTTCCTCACAAAGTGGGACTGCCCTGGGCATGTGAGCTTTCCTGGCTCTCACTCCTTTTTGTATATTTTAAAAGATGCATTTATTGGGGGGGGGGAGAAGGGCGGTAGATCTTTTATTCACTAGTTTATTCCCCTAAATGGCTGCAATGGCCAGAGCTGGGCCAGGCCAAAGCCAGTAGCCAAGAACTCCGTTTGGGTCTCCCACATGGGTGCAGGGGCCCAAGCACTTGTGCCATCCTCTGCTCCTTCCCAGGCACATTGGCATGGAGCTAGATTGGAAGCGGAGCAGTTGGGAAACGAACCAGGGCTCCAATATGGGATCCCAGCAGAACAGGGCACAGCTTAACCTGCTGGGCCACCGTGCCGGCCCCCAAGGCCCTCACGTCTTAAATGCCAGCTGCTCCCCTGCTCCCCCCAAGTCACTGTGATGGGACTGTCAGAGCCACTCACACTGTGCTCCCTGCAGGGTGCTGCTCCTGCCTCTCTTCCCACCAGCTCCCGCTGAGTCTTCAGACCCCACCCGAAAGCACCCCTCTGGGAGGCCTGCCCTGATGACCCGGGTGAGGCTCAACCTCCTTCTGTGTCCTCTTACCAGCCACTGCCCCCACACCATCTACTGCATGTAGACCATGCCTCCCCACTCTCTAACTGACCAACCATCCAGTGCCTCCCCACTCTCTGTACCTGCCCCAACCACACGGTGCCTCCCCACTCTCTGTAACTGGCCAACCACCCAGTGCCTCCCCACTCTCTGTAACTGGCCAACCATCCAGTGACTCCCCACTCTGTAACTGGCCCAACCATGCGGTGCCTTCCCACTCTGTAATTGGCCCAAGGGGCCACAAAAGGGCCATGCACACAGCTGGTGCTTGGTTGAAGGTCTACTCCAGAATCCCTGTTGAAATTTAATATTTAACAGTATTTAATTTAACAGTATCCAAAGGTGTGGCCTTCGAGAGGTGATTAGGTTCAGGGGGTTCTGTCCTCAAAAATGAATGACGGCCGTTATCGCGGGAGAGGGTTAGGCACCCTGGGAGTTGGGCCTCTTCTGTCTGTCTGTGCACGGTGCTGAACTGTCCTTGTCATGCCAGATGCAGCATGAGCCCCTCACAGATGCTGGCGCCACGCCCTTGGACTCAGCCTCCAGAACATGAGCCAGACCAACTTCTGTTATCTATAAGCGACCCAGTCCGTGGTATTCTGTGGTATCAGCAGGAAACAGACTAAGACCATTGGTGTTTCCCATTTCCTGAATGAATAAGAAAATAACAAAAAGTATGGAGCAGACTGGCTGAGACGCTGTGCTGAGACAGGCTGCAGACACACCTGGTCTACCCACCTGGGCAGGTGCTGGGCGCACCCGACACCAGGTCTGCACAGAGAGCTTCCAGCCTCAGCCTGCACCCCACAGGTGACTTAGACATTGCTCCTTCCCAGCATACCCCACTCCATCTTCAAATAAAATGACGCTAATTTTTTTTTCTCTACAAAGTGAAATACATCTCCCTAGAGTTTCAACCTGCTGAATCCAGTTCCTCCTCCTGGGGTGCCCAGAACAAGCCCATCTGCTCAGAGGACAGCAGGTGGCCCCCGGAGAGCTTGGCTCTGAGCCACACTGTCGTAGTCCTCAACACCTTCTTCCAGACACGCGTCCAATAACCACTTCCATTCACTCATGCACTCGGGAAATCTTAGCATGTTCCCACCGCGTGTCAGGCGTGCTGGGTGCTGGGCACAAACAAGAGAAGAGGACTGACAAGGCCCTTCTCCTGTGGGGTGGATTCAGCTAACAAGCGAACACGTAGGGTAAGAATACGTAACACAGTACAGAGGTCCCTGGAGAAAACAACACGGGGTGAGGTGATGACACTTCGGGGCCTACGCTGGATTTAATTTGGAGGGGAAGATCCCTCTGAGGAAACACACTGAGACCCGAGGCTCTACCAGCACCATGTCCACGACGGCATCGGGCAGGCTTTCCCAGCTGGAGAACAGCAAGAGCAAAGGGAAGAGGGAAAGAGGGCGGAACTGAGGCAGGGAGGTGGGTGAGGCGGGGCCTGGATGACGGACATCGTAGGGAGGTGGGTGAGGCGGGGCCTGGATGATGGACATCGTAGGGAGGTGGGTGAGGCGGGGCCTGGATGATGGACATCGTAGGGAGGTGGGTGAGGCAGGGCCTGGATGATGGACATCGTAGGGAGGTGGGTGAGGCGGGGCCTGGATGATGGACATCGTAGGGAGGTGGGTGAGGCGGGGCCTGGATGATGGACATCGTAGGGAGGTGGGTGAGGCGGGGCCTGGATGATGGACATCGCAGGAGGTGGTTGAGGCGGGCCCTGGATGATGGACATCGCAGGGAGGTGGTGAGGCCGGGCCTGGATGATGGACATCGCAGGGAGGTGGGTGAGGCCGGGGCCTGGATGATGGACATCGCAGGGGAGGTGGGTGAGGCGGGGGCTTGGATGATGGACATCGCAGGGAGGTGGTGATGCCGGGGCTGGGATGATGGACATCGCAGGGAGGTGGGTGAGGCGGGGCCTGGATGATGGACATCGCAGGGAGGTGGGTGAGGCGGGGCCTGGATGATGGACATCGCAGGGAGGTGGGTGAAGCGGGGCCTGGATGATGGACATGGTAGGGAGGTGGGTGAGGCGGGGCCTGGATGATGGACATCGCAGGGAGGTGGGTGAGGCGGGGCCTGGATGATGGACATCGCAGGGAGGTGGGTGAGGCGGGGCCTGGATGATGGACATCACAGGGAGGTGGGTGAAGCGGGGCCTGGATGATGGACATGGTAGGGAGGTGGGTGAGGCGGGGCCTGGATGACAGACGTCGTGTGGAATCAGGACGAAGCACTGAAGACTGAGTCCTCTGTATGCGCCCCGAGAGACGCTGGAGAGCTGTGGATCGTGGAACAGCCCGCGTCGCCCCCTCCCATCCCAGCATGCCTTGCTTCTGTCACTGCAGTCCACGTCACACTGAAAGAACGGGAGCCCGAGGAAGATGTCAGCTCCCAGGAGTGGTGCTGACTCAGCGAGGTGACACGTGCGGTACACAGAGGCTGGCGACAAGGAGACCCGTCACCTGCTGGACCCTGCCGGACACAGCAGAGGCTGGGCTTCCCGTCCGTCAGACGGCTTTCTGTCCAGTCGAGGAGGGGGACACGACGCTCGTGTCAGGTCATCCTCTTGAGCCGTGGCCAGTTTCCCCAACCGCGCGAGCACAGAGAGAGAGGGACAGGGAGAGACCTGCTCTGCGGGCTCAGGAAGCTAACCCAGTCCAGTGGCACGGGGAAGGGAAACCTGCACCGTGCACACAGGCCTGCAGCGAAGGGCCCAGGCAGGGCAGCTCATACCGCCAGGACGCTCGACCCGGCCTTAGTCCGGGCTCTCCGCATTTTCAGGACACAATAGCTGGAAAACAATTGGGCTTGGATCACCTTGTGGCCGCACAGTAAACTCCACGTTTTAGTCGGGGTAAGCAAATTCCCTCTGCGTTTGGTGGAAACACCGATTGGGTTGCTAGGTAAGAGGACGGCTCGGCTCTGACGTCTTCCAGTTCTGTGTGGTATTTCGTTATGTAATCTCACACAAGCGGTGACCACCGGTGCAGCATGCCAGGGCAGGACTCCACGGCCGTGACGCGGTCCTGGTTTGAGGATAGTTCATAAACTCGAAGGAGTCAAAGTTAAAAAAAAAAAAAAAAACAACTCTGGGACAAGCGAATCTGAACGCAGTGTGAGATGTCCATGCATGAGGAGGGGTCGGAGGGGTCGGAGGGGCCCTCCCAAGGCCAGGATTTGAAGAGTCTCTGGGTTTCGTTCTTCATCTCTTTTCCTTTTGCCATCCAGCAAAGGGTTAACAAGGACCTTTAGCTTCAAACTCCTTAACTGGTGAGCTCACCTTCTGGAACTCCGCAGCGCAGGAACCTTTTCCCTTCGTTATTACAGAAGGCTCTATCAATCTGCAAGTACTCAGCTAAACTGCCCACACAGCGATTTTTGTCATGTTCAATCTAATTCTCAGGAATCTAAGTTTAAATTTATACGAACAGCATGGAAGAGGAACACCCAGGTAGCAGATTCCACTTCTCCCCTTCCAAATGATCTGAGCAATGGCCTCCTTCATTAACAGGAAAGAGGCTGCGGCGCTGAACACGGGAGGCTGGCACACTCAGCGTCTGGGAACTTGCAGGCGTCTCAGGAGCAGGTGGGAAAGCCCTGGTCCGTGGCTCAGGCTCGGGACAGGGGCCCGAGGCGGGGGGCAGGGCCCTTCCTCAACGCCAAAAGACAGTGAAGCCTGAGCGGGCAGCGGGGGACCTCCGGAGGTCGGCTCAGAGTTCGCAGGTCAAGGTGATGAGGGCTGGGGGCAGGAGCAGGCGGGTGGGTGGGACTGGCCATGGTTTCACAGTTGTAGGGGCTGGGGGCTGGGAACAAGGGGCGTCATCACACTATTCTGCCTGCTTTTGTGCATGTTCAAAATTCGCCATCCAAAAATTAAAAAAAAAAAAATGTTCGCAGAGTTGAAGCCAAGGAAAGAGAAAAGTTTAAAAAGGACAAATCCAGTTAAGTAAAACTAGCTACGGGCTTTAAAAGAAAGACAGGCCAACAGAGACAGGAGACTTCTGCTTAAAAGGAGCAGAATCAAGACTTCGGCAGCGGTGGCTCAGGGGGTGGGGACAGGAGGGCCGCTCTTGTCTGCGTTCTGCACGTGTGTGATGCTTGCCGTTGTCAGAGGATGGGAAAAGCATGCTATAAAAAGTGTGCAGGAAAAAAACGCAAACCTGGTCTAAAAATATCTGGGGAGAAGTACACGAAGATGATAACGGTCTTTGAGCGATACATCTTTTCTTTTTGATGATGTGTAATTTCTAATTTTTCTATCATAAATGTGTCACTTAAACAGCTTTATATTTTTCAGATAAAACACAGCAACTCAATGCCGTGTCCAGCCTCAGTGGCTTCCTTAGCCTTTGATGCCCCAGCACACACCAGAAAACGGTCCCCCGGGGCCACCGGGGCCACAGGGGCCATGGGGCAGGGGCAGTGAGAGGCTGCCAGCTGCCCCAGCACGTTACAAGCAAGCTCTACAAGGGTGCCCCGGACACACATGCCGTAGCAGGCAGGGGGCATCCCTCCTTGGAACAGGAACCACCACGCTCATGCCAGCTCGTGGCAGCCTGTGGCCCTGTGGCACGGCTCTCACAGGCTTCTGTGCGGATGGTGAGCCGGGACCCGAGTCCTCTGCCTGGGCTGAACGCTCTCCCGCCTGGCAAGGTCCAAAACAGAACCTTAGCAGATTTTCACACTCTGCTGTGCACTTTTCTGTTTTAAAAAAATCCTATCTTTTATAGGATTAAGTGTCAAAGGGATCACATAAACAAGACTAGTGTCTGCTAATACTAACTGATAGAATTAAAAAGGAGAGAATGATCCAACATGGGAAGCAGGATACACAGCAGACTCATAGAATGGCAGATGCCCTAAACAGCACTCTGGCCTCAGAATTAGCCCTTAAGGCATTTGGATCTGGCTAAAAAGCCCATGAGAGTTTCGCAGGCATGGAAAGCCAAGACACTGTGGCAAAAAAAATTATCTAAATGAAAGATCTCTGTGAGTGAGATTCCAGCGGAAAGAATGGGCCATGAAAGAAGGAGGTACCTTTCTCTGAAGGGAGGAGAGAACTTCCACTTTGACTATGGCCTTGTCTAAATAAGGTAGGAGTTTGTGAACTCAAAAGGCTTCCACAGCCTTGGCAGCTCATGACAAGAGCCTCAGGTGATTACTGACGTCATAAAATAAGAGTATCAATTGTTAAATCAACAACGGGAGTCACTGTGCACTTACTCCCCATGTAGGATCTCTGCCCTTAATGTGTTGTACTATGAGAATTAATAGTAAAACTAGTACTCAAACAGTACTCTATACTTTGTGTTTCTGTGTGGGTGCAAACTGTTGAAATCTTTATTTAGTATATACTAAGTTGATCTTCTGTATATAAAGATAATTAAAAATGAATCTTAATGAAGAATGGGATGGGAGAGGGAGTAGGAGATGGGATGGTTTGTGGGTGGGAGGGTGGTTATGGGGGGAAAAAGCCGCTGTAATCCAAAAGTTGTACTTTGGAAATTTATATTTATTAAATAAAAGTTTAAAAAAAATAATGAGTTGGTAAAAAAAATCCTATCTTTTACCAAGACACGACCACTCATTATGCACAGCCAACTACTACAGAGATGTACAGGTTTCAGCAAGTTCCAAAGAAATACAAATATCCACGTGTATTGACATTCTTATTCACTAAATGCTAACTACTATCACTTACTGCTTACTCTAGGCCCTGCCTTCCTTCCACCTGACGTCAGCTCAGCCTCCACACCCACCTCGAGTCCTGGGGACGAACGCTCACTGCTTCACACCCTGGTGACAGAACTGCCCCCCCCCCATGGCTTTCCTCTCACTCTGCAGATTCTTTGGTGGGTTGGTGTTCTTTCTCACCATATCCAAGTAGCTTCATGAATTCGTTTCTCTGCATGAAGGAGACACTGCCTCTGATTCTTGAAGACTTCACACATGTTAACAGGGCCCACCTCGCCAGGCACACATGCCCCTGGCACGGATGTACCACGCTGGTACCATGCTGCCGCCTTGCTCACACACTTCATTTGTGTCCGTTCATTCCGGCTGCCCGTGCTGGGGCGGGTTTCTGATGAACACGTGAAGCAGGGAGGTCGCACACCCTGGCACCACCAACCCCTGACTTTACAGGGATTGGCCCCGTGGTACCAGGTACTTGTTGAACTCACGCCTGTTTCCTTCTCAACATCTATACGCTACAAATACACTCAACTGAATTCTGCTTTAAAGCAAGTAGAACAGAGTGTGGCTTTCAACATGACTGAAAGTGCTTCCTTTATGGAGACATTAAATATTTGTCAAAAATGAAAACTTTCTGTGTATATTCTTGTAACTACTGGTCACGCCATTTTTGAACTACCCATATACCAATTATAGCTATAACTCAATTTTACAGTTTTTTTATGTAAAGTATTTTTTTTTTTTTTGACAGGCAGAGTTAGACAGTGAGAGAGAGAGAGACAGAGAGAAAGGTCTTCCTTTCCGTTGGTTCACCCCCCCAAGTGGTCACTACAGCCAGCGCGTTGCAGCCGGCGCACTGCGCTGATCCGAAGCCAGGAGCCAGGTGCTTCTCCTGGTCTCCCATGTGGGTGCAGGGTCCAAGCACTTGGGCCATCCTCCACTGCCTTCCCAGGCCACGGCAGAGAGCTGGACTGGAAGAGGAGCACCGGGACAGAATCCGGCTCCCCGACCGGGACTAGAACCCAGTGTGCCGGCGCCGCAGGTGGAAGGTTAGCCTATTGAGCCACGGCGCTGGCCGTAAAGTATTTTTAATTGCCAAATTTTCTAAGGAACTGCATGCCAACTCTTTAATCATCAATTCTCTATGGATGGAAATCCTCTATAAAAGTAGTATATGCTTTCTTTTCATATTAGCAGAATATGATTCAACAATTATTAATAACTTAAGGTCGTGATATGAATGTGACTTTAGTATCTGCAATAGATGGTGACCCCGTACGGCAGGGGAAGGTGTCCTGTCCTCAGGACAAACTCTCAAATCTACTTGCCACCTCACTAAAATGGAGTTAGGAGTGTTCCGATGTAATACTCCCAGGATAATCATAATACCAGTTCTCATTTACCGTACCTGGTGTATAAACACACTCAAATGTTTATT